CAGCACAGGTTTTTCTGACAGGGAGTGGGGTCAAGGAGCCAACTCAGTCTAGGACCAGGGTTGGAGTCAGGACACTGTCAGGACAAAGCCGAGCTCTGTCGGTGGCTAAGGCAGAGGCTCCAGCAGGGATGAAGATCACGGGCCAGTCCCAGGACCGGGACTCACTCTGGATCATCGCTGGGTCTCAGTGTGCAGACGACAGAAAGTTGCTGTTGTGGACAGCAGGCCCGGCGATGGGCAGCTGCTGTCCCCGGCCCTGCATCTGAGAGAGTTACCCGCAACCACAGTGTGGTTCACACATGTCAAGTCATGTAATCCACAGACTGGTCTGACTCGGAGGGCCTCGTACAGAGTCCTCCAACCCCAGCATCTGGCCCCAGAGCCCCAGGGGGAGGTGAGATAGAGGAAGCCTCTCCACCTCATCCTTTCCTGCCCAGTACCCACTTGTACCTCAAAGTTTTGGGAGGTTTACTGAAACTGGCATTTGAGAGGCATCTGTGAGACACAAGGGTCAATGGAGCAGCTCCCCAAGTACCTGGGGGTGACTGCAGAAAAGAAGAACTGCAGAAAGTGGGGGCTCAGATGAGACATGGGACAGAGCTCTGGAGATGGAGGACACCTGGGTTTGAGTGGCCTCCTCTGAAGGTTATTTACTCCAGAGTCTTGGTTTTCTCACTGTGACTTCCGAGCTCCCTCAATGGGAAAGAAGAGGGCGTGGAAAGGGGAAGGGGTCACTCTCTTCAGGGACAGTGGCAGCTCCAGTTGGACCTTGTGGGCAGAGGAGAAGAGTTACTGCCCCCCCACGAGCCAGCAGCCCTCCCTTCAGCCTCTGCCCCAATGACAGTGGGTCCCAGCAGGCAGGGCTGTGCCCCACTCCCAGTATGAGCCAGGCAGCAGGGAGCAGAGCAGAGAGGGTAGAGGCCAACGGTGCCGGGTCCCAAGGAAACCGCTTCTGGGAAGCTTAGTCTGTCCCACCATCTGCTGTGGAGGAGGCTGCTTGTGTCCCCTCCACAGGGATAGAAGGATTATTCGAGCTTTCCAATTAGCTAATGAGAAAATTGTGCTTAGCCTCTCCATGCTCCTTCCAGAAGTCAGCATGGAAAGGAAGGGCGGAGAGTGGGCAGCATGGAAAGGAAGGGCGGAGTGGGCTCCGATCCCTCAGGCACCATGTCATCACTTCGTCACTTCTTTAAATTGAAATGCCCAGGTACATTTAACACAGCCTCACACTGAGCTCAGTTCCTTACATTCTACGGAACTGCCCTACTGTACCTGGGCAGGAAGGTGGTGCAGAGGCCAATGCATCCTCTATGGGAGAGGATCTCAGGGGCCATGAGGCCCAACTGTGCCCCTGTGAGGTCTCCCTGACTCAGCAGGAAGGCCAGGAGTGGGAGCAACTGGAGGCGGGGAGGCCAGGGTGCAGGAGGATGACCGGGTCCAGGAGAGACCCTGGAGATGGTGGCCTCAACTAGAGAAGGGGTGTGAGGCAGCGAGGTCAGAGGCATTTGCGGGCTCTGCTAGAGCAGAATGATGCTACCTGGCTCTGGAAGGTGACGGAGAGAGGAAAACCCGGAGGGACTCCCAGGCTTCTGGCTTGACTTGTGGGAAATGGTACTATTCACTGGGGCAGAGGAGTGAGAGCGAGAATCGAGGCGCAGATGACAAATTCCCCAGGTCCATACCCAGCACCAGGTAGGGCGTGCTGGAAACTCTAAATGTTTGCTGTGGAGCAGTGTGAACAAGGTAGAGAACAGAGAGACATGCAGACAATGGAAACCAGAAGACAAAGAGACAACAACAGAAAATCAGGCCGCTAAAATGTCAGTGCTAGAAGGGACTCCATGTACAGACAGGGCAGGAGACTGGCCTCAGAGAGGAGCAGCAGTTGCACAGCAAGTGGGAGGGACTCGGGTCTCCTGCTTCCTGAACTGGGGCCCTCTCTCTACCCTCCCACACACACACATACATAATGGCTCCCTAGGCTTCCTCGAGTTTGGTCCAAATAACAAGCACAAGCCAGTGGCAGCAAGCTGCCAGGCCATCTGTGCAATGGCAGGATGAAGGCTGGGGCAGCCTGGTAGCCACAAAGGAAGGATTCCAGGACATTCCCCCCAAGGCCATGGCAGATGTGACTCCTGCACAGGAGCTGAACAGTCCAAAAAACTTTTCTGTACTCACAACCCCTGTGACTACCTCAGGAGAGCTCCCTTGGCTCTCAAATGCCTGAGGAAACACCTCTGTGACAATCACAACCAAGGCAGCCACAGGGGCCAGCAATGTCAAAAACATCGGGCTCCAAGAGATGAGGGGATTCATCCCCCACCCCTGCACCAGGTGTTTCAAGTCTCATCCAAAAGCCAAGAGTCAATGAGAAAGATTGAATGTTTCCTGTGTGCAAGGGATAAAACTTTGCACCCGTAGGTATCATCCCTGTCTCCCAGAAACATGAGGAAGTAGACAATATGGTCATTTTTCTATAACTGAGTAAACTGAGGCTCAGAGCTGTTAGGTAATTTGCCTGACGTGGCACTGTTAGGTAATTTGCCTGAAGGGAGGAACTGAGCTTCAAATTCAGACCTCATACTTTCAAGCTCAGATGTATAGCACCAATCGCAGAATTTTTGATGCCTGGTCCAGGGTAATTTGAACCACCTCCCACCTTGTTTTGAGTGAGGCTTCAAAAACCAAGTGGAAAAATTAAATGAGATCATAGACATGGAAGGGTACTGTAAATGGCACAGCACATTCTGCATGGCTATTATTCTGTTTTTATTCCCAGTCCCAGTCTTTCATTTTGCCAATTTGAGATTAAAAATAAACAAATCACTGTTGACTGCCACCATCATCTCAGAAAAGAAAGTGTTCGGATGCCAAAATGTGTTGCAGGACATAACGGGGATGAAAGCAGGCCTCTGGATGGAGCACGCTCGACAGGACGCATACCATTGTGTGGTTGTTATTCTCGCTGTCAAGAACAGGCTTGCACTGGGCTCCCACTGGCCCCAGTGGCCACCGCAGCTCTAAAACTCATCTGCGCATCTGCCTTTACTAAGTAAGGACAGCCTTAAGGAGAAGAATCAAGCACGGCCTTCACAACATCATTCTGACTAAAATCTATAACCATAGTACAAAAAAATAAGGAGAGAGATGGGCTACACACGCAAACACACGCTCGCACACGCGTGCACACACACACACACACACTCACGCACACCTCTTCCCTAGGTCCAGAAGGCACCAGGCAGCTGGCTGACTCAGTGCTCTGTGGAACAGGGGGCTGTGGGTGGGCACCCCGGAGCCGTGCCCCTGGCAGGTGGCTGGGTTCTCACTTTGAGGCTGCTGAAGTCAGAAGGAATGATCTGGGCTCTTTTTCTCATTCACATCCTGACACCCTGTATTACTCGTGTTTTTTAATTTTATGATGTTTTGACATCTTGGTGTGGGGAGGGGGAGCTCTAGCTGGCTGGGGAGAGGTTGCCCTTCACAGGGCTAGCTAATTGCTAGAGACAACAAACAGCTCTCCTTTGCTGTCCACATGCAAACCAGCCACCTCCTTTATCTGCCTTTCGCTGCCCGTCCTGTATTCCCCTGCCTTGAATCACCCAGGGCAGGCATCTGACTAGAGACCACCCCTAAGTCCAGAGACTTCTACATTATTCAAGCCAGTGTTTCCCAGCCTGTTTGCCAGCTCTGCCTGCCTTTCCTCAGAAAACACAACACAGGCTGTGGGCCACGCTTTCCCAAGCTCTGCCTCTGGGACTCTCCCATGGCCCCATGGTGTGGCGCAGTGTGCCCCCCTCCTCCTGGGAAAGATCAATAAATTCATTTTTCAATGGCTCCGATCCCTCAGGTACCATGTCATCACTTTGTCACTTCTATAAATTGAAATGCCCAGGTACATTTAACACAGCCTCACACTGAGCTCAGTTCCATACATTCTAGAGAACTGCCCTACTGTACCTGGTGCACCTGTGGCCTATAGCTTGGGGTGCTCCTGACAGAAACACTCAAGTCTCCCAGCCCCCGCGGGACTTTATCAAGATTGAGCCACCAGATGTTAGAAAGATAGGCGCTTCCTAGAAGGCCTGTGCACCTACCAGGGTGGATCTGGGCCTAGGAAGGCTGATGCTCCCTCAGATGCAAATCTGAGGAACTAGAAGGAGGGTCTCATGGGAGGCCCAAGACTGGGGAGGGTTTGGGCAGAGTGGGCTGAGCTCCCCACAAAGAGGCAACTGCAGACCAAAACAGCAGGAGGAGAGGTAAGAGAAGTCCTGGGCATGCAGCCTCCCCCAGACACACACACATACTTTGTAGCCGGACCCCAGTCCCTGTGAAGTTCAGCATTGCCGGCTGCAGACACGTAGCTCAGACAGCGGTCACCAACCCACCCTGGACCTCCGGGAAGGCCTCCAGTGGCCACGTACCAGCCAGCTGACGCTAACTACTCTGCCCTGTGTTCAACCCTGTGCTTGTCCTCTGGGAAAACTCAGGCAGAAGGAAACCTGGAGAAGCCTGGCTGACCCCAGGGAGTCGGGAGGCCCCTGCCCTGCAGACATGCTGGCCACGATGATGGATCGATCGATGGTCCACGAACCCAGACACAGCCTTGAACGTGGCGCTCTGACCTCAGTCACCATGTCCTGCCCTTCCTAGAGTTGTCACCCCCAGAGGTGGCCCCAAAGGTGCAGGAAGGCTTGCCCTGTTTCCATCTTCCTCTCTGCCCACAGCAAACACAGCACGTGACATTCGAAGCTTCCCATGGTCCCATCAGCTCTTGAGGCCCTCCAGCCTCAAGCCCCTCATTCTGGCCCCAATGCCCGAGTTGCCCAGTGTGTGGGAACTCAGGGACCAGTGCTCAAGAGGCAGAGTGGCCCCGGGGCCCTCCAATCCCACCTGCCAGCCCAACATGAGAAGCTCACCACCCTCTGGGCACTGAGTGTGCCCAAGAGAAGGGCCCCACCCTAGGGAAGAAGGACTCCTAGGGCCCAGCCTTAACTCACGCTGCTTCTCCTGGAGGATGCTGGATGTGCACGGGGCAGTCCCTTCTCCTGCAAAAAAAAAAAAAAAAGAAGAAAATGTGAGCAGACTCCCCATTAGGCTGCCCCATGGCTCAAGCTGTGCCCCCAACCCAGACCTGTCTCTGACACTCTTAGGTCTGGGCCATTTATGCAAGGCCATGCCACCCTGGCCTGGGGACGCATGCGGCACACACCATCTTTTCACCTCTCCTTCCACCCTGGCGCCTCTCCTCCTATGACTGTCCTGAAGCAGCTGCTCATCTTACATTGCCTTCTCTACACACTTGGCCCCTCACCATCAGCGTCCAGAGCCATGTCCCTGCGGACAATTGCCGAATCTCTCCTGCTTGCTCTACTAGGTTCTTTTGTTGTTGTTGTTAAAGATTTATTTATTTATGCATACAAGAGGTGCAGGCCAGATGTGCGGGGAGGATAAGAGGATTCACCAGAGACAGAGTGGGGAGCAGAACAGGCAGATCGACTGAAATACACTGCTGAGGGGAGCAGTGGGAGAGTCAGGAGAGGTCTGCTGTGCCATGTGGGTCACCTCCCTGGCCAGAGATCAAACTCGTGCTGCAGAGGCTGCGGATTGCTTCATATAGCTGCATCTGAACCCCTTGCACCAGCAGGGAGGCCCCCTCCTAGGTTCTTGACCCATATCTCCCTCTGCCTCTTGGACATCAGCCCTGGGCACCTCCATGCCATGCACACTCACCATGACCACTGGGAGGGCCCTGGAACTACCCTGTTCCCACACCCCACTCAGAGAAGGGGCCCCCACTCCCCCAAGACTGGAAGCCAGCCTCCCTTGTCCCCACATCCAATCAGTCACAAGGTTCTGTGGGGCACGCCTCCGGTCTCCTAATGGCACACTCTCTCTCCACAGATATAGATCCTACAATGGAAGCGGTTTCAGTGCTGCTCACTGGTGTGTGACCAGGCCTCATGCAGTGCTTCTCAATCAATATTTACTGAATAAATTAATGAATCTCACATACACACACACCACACGTACACACACATGCACATACACCACACACAGAGCATACACACTCCCCAATACAGAGTCGACCCTGTCTCCCTGGACTACCGCAATAGAGTCTTCTTTTTATGAGAAGTTTTTTTCTCTAAGAAAGAACACAAGCTCCTTACTGGAAATTTGGAAAACACTAACAGATAAAAGGGGGGAGGTACCACAGCATCATTGGGAGAGAAGTGCTGATGCCATTTTACATCATTCTTCCTGGTCTTTTTTCTTACACACATTTTGGGGGCTTACTGAGATCCTGTCAGCTCCCCATGGGCAGGGACTAGGCCATCTATCTGTTTCCCCAAGATCCAGCTGATGGCTGGCTCAGAAATGACAAGAAGCATAAACTACACTCCGTACTTTAATTTGATGTACAGAAAATAAATAGTCCCCTAGCAAATTGCAAAACCTCTGTAAGCCTCATTCTGAGAACTAAAATAGTCTCTGGGAAGGTTCTACTGTGGTTGACTTTCAAATTTTCCTATTGGAGAAAGTTGCAAACATTCACCATTATAATTACTGCTGTAATAAACACCTTTGTGATTAAAGCTCCTTCTGGTTTCTTATAATTACCTCAGCTCTGTCGAGAGGAGGAGGATTCTGGGTCAAAGGGTGGGAAACTTTCAAGGTCCTGATGTTTATTGCCTGGCTGCTCCCAGGAAGGTGTGCGTTCTGAGGACACCCACCCAGTGGCAGTGGGAGTTGTTCTCAACACACTCCCCTCCCCGGCATTTACCTTGGTCTGATTTCTGCACTGCCAGTGTCGCCCAGTTAATCTTGCTCAAGCCAGCTCTGTCCAAGACACACCATTTCAGAGTCTTCTAGTGGCTCCTCTTTACCGAATTCTGAGTCTAGCAAATGAGCCTCTCCAGGTAGAGTGCCCCTGTCCATTCTCCAGCCTTGTCCCATGCTTCCTTTCTCACCCCCCACCAGCCAAGTCACTGTTTCTGTTTCTAGGTTCAAGGCACAAGCTGCACACCTTTGCCTGCACAGGTAAAGGCATTCCAGTCTGGAACGCCTGCCTGCTTGTCTACCTTCCTCTGTCAAACCCACTGTGTCCTCCAGGCTGAGCTGAAAACAATCCAGTGACCACTTCTTCCATGGAAGCTTCCATTCTTCTCCAGAAGCCTCAGTTCTCAGGATCTCTGGGTCCCAAGAGCCAGCACAGGGCCAGGTTCCACAAAAGCCAGTTCCCTTCTTGTTGAAATGCCCTACCTCAAACCCACCCCACCTGACTTGGAGTTTCAGAAAGGAAGTCACCCCAAGCCCCCAGGAACTAGAAAGCTCTCCTGTAAATTACAGTGAAGCTGCAGTCAGAGAAGTGGCCCCAATTCTTAGCTCACCAAATCCCAGTCTACTGGGAGCCCTGTCAGCAGTTCTCACCCTTGTTCTGCTGCACCATCCGTTGGGGCCTCAATTATTCACATCTAGAAGCTTGCACATGACCATGCAGAAGGACCTGTCAGCTCTTCTTCTCTGCCCCCAGGGCAAGGTGACCTGGGCCCAAGGGAGAGCAATGGTGTGACTGAAGCTTGGGGTAAGCAATGTAGAGGCCAGACCTCCAGCCTGAAAACCCAAGCTACAGGCAGGATCCTGGGAGGGACCTGCTCTTCTGTACCTGAGCATGCTGGCAGGACATACTGATACCAGCCTGGCTCCCAACTTTCTGAGCGGCTTAAGTTCCCTGGGGAAAAAAAAAATGTGCTCACAGCTCCCCCAATGATCCCAGTTCTCTAGGGAACTCCAAGATGCAGAGAGAAGCTGCATGAGGGCCTCTCTGGGGGACCAGAATGGCCTTCCCCATGCAAAGATGCCTCATTTCCCCCTGCAGAAAGAAGTCCAGACCTGCATACTCCACCCCCTCCCCAGATAACACTCATGGCACTGATGGGCAACTGTAAGTAAAGCCCTCTCAGCTGCTATCCACTGGAATCCCTCTGTTTCCACAGTCCTATATCTGGCAGGGCTGCCTTAATGGCTCCTGTCACCTAACCTGTTCCCCTCCTCCTGAATCAGGTCCCAGGGGCATTCTCAAAGGCAGGAATAAAGAGCAGGAAGAGCATAGAGTTGGAAATAGGAGGCTGAGACTCCCTTTGAGACTCTCACCTTCTTGCTTTGTGACCTAAAGCAAGCCGCTCTCCCTCTCTGGGCCTCCTTCCCTTAATAGACTGGTTCCATTGCTCCCTAAGGACCCTACAAGTACTGAAAGTCCTTAAGTAATACTTCATTGTGTTTATACCCTGGTACTCAAGTGCAGGTTCATTGACTAACCTTGAGAAAGTCATTTAAGTCATTAAACTTCTTTATGCCTTAGTCTACTGAATTATGAAATGGGGATAGTACAGAGGACACAAAAGCACTAATTTGAAAGGATACCTGCACTCCTATGTTTACAATACCAAAGGTATGGAACAACCCAAATGCTTCAAAACAGATGACTGGATCAAGAAGACGTGGTACAACACTAATGATAAAAGACTGATGACAAAAATCTGCAAAAACCTGACGAGACTCAACGAAAACAAAGAAAATAATCCAGTCAAAAAATGGGCAGAAGAACTAAAAAGAAACTTCTCCAAAGAGGAAATGCAAATGGCTAACAGACATATGAAAAAATGTTCAACATCACTTGCAATCAGGGAAATGCAAATCAAAACTACAATGAGATACCATCTCACACCAGTGAGAATGGCACATATTAAAAAAATAGCAACAACAAATGTTGGCGAGGTTGTGGAGAAAAAGGAACTCTCCTGCATTGCTGGTGGGAGTGCAAACTGGTCCAACCACTATGGAGAGCTGTGTGGAGATTTCTTGACCTACTAAAGATAGAGTTTCCATATGATCCAGCAATTCTACTCCTAGGTATTTACCCAAATGACACAGAAACATTAATTCCAAAGGGCACCCACATCCCTATGTTTATAGTAGCACTATTTACAATAGCTAAGCTATGGAAACAACCCAAATGCCCAAAAATAGATGACTGGATCAAGAACATGTGGTACATATACACCATGGAATATTACTCAGGAATCAAAAAAGGTAAACACATGCAGTTTGCAGCAACATGGATGGAGCTGGAAGGGATCATGCTCAGCGAAATAAGCCAGAAAGAAAAAGAAAAATACTGGATGGTCTCACTCATAGCAGGAATTTAGAAAACCTAAATAAGGGACCAGGAAAAAGACTAATTAATACAAAGTAAAAATCAAAATCAACAAGCAACTATAAACCAGAGACACACTATGAGGTTGGGAGGGAAGGAGAGAGGAAGAACTAGGGTCAAAATAAGGGGAGGGGGAGGTGAAATTGTATGGGGAATATAAACAAAATGATAATGCAAACATTGTGCAAAAATGAAAAATGATGTAAGAATTACATAAAATAAAATGTTAATTAAAAAAAGAAGATGTGATACATATACACAATGGAATATTACTCAGCAATCAAAAAGATAAACTCATGCCATTTGTGGCAACATGCATGGAGCTGGAAGGGATTATGCCAAGTGAAATAAGTTAGAAGGTAAAAAGAAATATTAGATGGTTTTACTTACATGTGGAATATAGAGAAACTGAACAAAGGGTTAGGAGAAAGACAACACTTGCAAGCTGACCATAGATCTGAGGCCTAGAGCAGGGGAAAGAGAAGGAGAGGGAGCAAAGCAGGGGAGGGAAGAGCCCAAGGGACTTTGGTGATGGTTCACAGGTGATGTGGTAGTGGAAGGACTATGGGGAATACACCTGAGGGAATCAAATATGGTATGTGAACAACGATGTAAGAAAAAAAAAGAAAATTAGGGCCTCCCCTGGTTGCGCAGGCAGTTGAGTGCAGCACTGTAGAGCTGTCTGCAGCCTCTGCAGTGCCTGTTGGAGCCTGGCCGGCCAGAGAGGGTCCCACATGGTGTGGCAGACCTCTCCTGTCGCGCCCACTGCTCCCCTCAGCAGTGTATTTCATCAGTCTGCCTGTTCTGTTCCCTGCTCTATCTCTGGTGAAT